GGCAGAGAGAGAGAGAGAGGGAGGGAGGGAGACACAGAATCTGAAGCAGGCTCCAGGCTCTGAGCTGTCAGCCCAGAGCCTGACGTGGGGCTTGAACCCACGAACTATGAGGTCATGACCTGAGCAGAACTCAGATGCTTAACCGACTGAGCCACCCAGGTGCCCCAAGACCAAGCTTCTTTAGAGCAGAGACTTTTCTGTATTCTTAATACCTCTGGTGTCCAGCCCAGTGCTTAACCATCGTGGGAAGTTTCTACAGTGCTGTCATTTATTGAATGTTAACAACTCAGTGAAGATAGGTATCTCCATTTTGCAGATAAGGAAACCAAAGCTCATTGTGTTGGTTGAATGAATAAAATGCTTACATAAAAAGTTGCTGTAACATCAACTAGTATTAACCATGCCAATACATTTGAATAATACTTGCTTTACAGTTAACACCTTTGTCAATATGGGTACCCTGTCCTTGAAACAGAAGTCAGTTCTATAAATGGCCATTCAGGTGACAGCACACTGTTAGAGATCTGAGGGCGAGCTTCTTGGGTAGTGGTGTTGGTTGTTACATGTCTAAGACTGTATTGTGTAGTCTTTCCCTTTGGTTAACAAGTGTCTGTGAATATCTTGGACCTTCCCTCATAGTGTATCTTTGCCATAAATGGAGTATTTAATGCTTGTTCTTATATGCTCCCACAGCATGGAAATCATATGGTTTTACATTCACCACAGCTTGGCAGCTTGGAAGATAACTATAATTTTATAGTTTAGGCATGGCCAAATGGAAAAATGTGGACTGACTGTTTTGGATATGACTATAACCCCAAATCAGTTTGAAGGGTATAAGCGCTGAATCATTTAAATGTACAAAAGTATCTACTTTACTTTTAAATGCATTTAGCTTTAAGAAAATATGCTGCTTTACACTTTGGGTACTGTCTTGCCAAAGCCTACTATTGAAAATGAAGAAATTACCCTTGTTTTTAATTACTGACTAATAATGTCAGTGCTTTTTGAAAGCACTATAAAAGAGGAGAAAGAATTATTTCTAAGAAGGGCAGGGAGATCACAAAGGAGCCATAGCTTTGATTTTCTTATGAATGCTTTTATGAATTCCTTATCATTTGTGTAATGCATGGTGCCCCTTTAGGTATTTACTAATGTAAAATAATTTTCTAAAAGGCTTTTTGGTGGGCGCCTGGGTGGCTCAGTTGGTGAAGCATCTGACCAGCTCAGGCCATGATCTTACAGTTCATGAATCTGAGCCCCATGTTGGACTCTGGAACCCACTTCAGATCAGCTGTCTCCCTCTGTCTCTGCCCCTCCCCATCTTGCGTGCTCTCTCTCTCTCTCATAAAAATAAATAACATTAAAGGCTTTTTGGTAAGGGGAAAACAGACTTACAGTGTGCTTGTGTCTACATGGCAGACTGGCTTGCCTCGAGGGCAGTTGTTTTAAGTTAATAATCAGGGAAAATTGCTTCTATTGACAATGATGGCCAGTCCATCATTTGGATTAGTCTATCTGTTAGCTGAATTTCATGACCTACGGCTAAGAGTTTTAAAAATTCCAGTTATTTGGCAATTTTGTGGCCTGTCCCAGTTAAGTTATAAGAACTTGAATTCTGTAGATAAATATTGAGCACCTACTCTGCCAGGTCTGTGTGTGCTTTGATGCTGAGGATATACTTAAAATCAGTCCACTGCACCAGGCATTGAAGGCTCAGCTTTCCAAACTGCTTTTAAGAGTGCAAGGGGTGGGGCGCCTGGATGGCTCAGTCAGGTAAGCGTCCGACTCTTGGTCCCAACTCAGATTAGGATTTCGCAGTTCGTGAGATCGAGCCCGGCGTCAGGCTCTGCGCTGACAGCGTGGAGCCTGCTTGGGATTCTCTCACTTGCTCTCTGCCTGTCCCCTGCACATGCACTTTCTCTGTCTCAAAATAAATTTTAAAAAAGCACACGGGATGATTGTGTTCCTGCACGTGTACGTGCGTGCACGTATGTGCTAGAGCTGCTTTGTGTTTACCCAGGTTAAATTTTGAGTTTCTGAGAAAGATTTTGTATGAATAGATAAAGTGTTGACAAAGAATTTGAAAATAACTGGTATGACATGGATTTCATCACCACTCCTGCCGAACAACTTTCAGTGGCTTTCACAGGACAATGTCCAAACTCATTAGCATGGTGTCTCATCATTTTCTGCATCATCTTTTAAGAGCGCCAGGAAAGCAAGGCCTGCAAAGCCTGTTGTATCCTTTTCAGGTGCTAGTCAGTAGTTACTTGCATTGGTTGGTTTGTTTTTGTTCCCTTAGTGGGTGTCTCTCATTACCACCTAGGCTCTGAATACTCTGAGACCTTATACGACTCCATAGTGGACACCTGAAATGGTCCTTGATGCCATTTTTAATTTTATTCTACTGGTGTCACAGCAGAAAACATGAGTATGTCTCAAAGGCTAAGTTCTGAGAAATTATCAGACATTTGTGTCGTCAAGGAAAGTGAGGAACAACGATACTCTAAAGGAAGGAGTACAGCACCCTCTGGCTGGTCTGCTCCTGTAACAGAAGTGAGTCCAGGGACTGGGCGATTAAAAACAAAGAAGCCCCAGGGAACCTGAGTGGTTCAGTTGGTTAAGTGTCTGCCTTTGGCTCAGGTCATGATCTCACAGTTTGTGAGTTCAAGCCCCATGTCGGGCTCTCTGCTGTTGGCACAGAGCCTGCTTCAGATCTTCTGCCTCCCTCTCTCGCTGCGCCTCCCCCACTCTCACACACTCTCTCTCTCTCTCACAAATAAATAAATAAACTTTAAAAAGTAAAGCAGTCCCTTTCTCACTTCATTTTCTCCATAAGTACTGCTAACTTCTCAGCCTCTCCTCAATCTTAATTCTAAGTCCTGACAGAATAACCCTGACTATGGCTAAGAGCTTTCCTCACCTGTGTCAAAAGAAAAATCTCCTAACCACATTGCCCCAGGCTCCTTTGACAAACACACAACCCACCAGCAATAAGTGGGAATTTCCATAAGTTACAGTAAATACAGATGAAAATAAGCAGTATATGTGAAAACAAGTTCAGAATCCTACATTCTACTCCAAAGTAATTCCCCAATAGGAGGGCAAATCTAGATGAAACTAAGCAGTAAATACAAAAACAAGCTCAGAATCACACATTCCTTTCAAAAGTAACTTCCCAGTGTGAGTTAGTGTATGGCTCCAAGACCTAAAACACCCTTCATTTGTTCAGGTGCACAGTGAGTGTTCTTTTCCATCTGGGTCAGGAACTCCTCTAAGTCCAAACAGACAGACGTTGCAAGGTCACATAAAGTGCTCAAATCCTATGCTGGACTGCTAGCAGTTTGAACACGATATATTCCTTTAGTTATTCAGAGAAGAATTCTGAGCCCGTGAGGTGAGTGGCAAGTTAATACTTACCCTGTAGGGCTTTTTAGAGGGTTGGTGGCAACTGTATTTAAAAATATATCAGGGCACCTGTGTGGCTCAGTCAGTTGAGCGTCCGACTTCGGCTCAGGTGATGAT